TTATTTTGAGTGCACACCACGACAAAGTGCACGTCAAATTTGGCGCCGTTGCCGGGGAAAGGCAATAATTTTTCTTTTTATTTTAAATTAAGAAAAATAAAAAAATATATAGATAAATAAAATATAAATAGTTCTTACCTTTTCTATTTCTGAGCTTACATGAGTATATGGTAAAAACCCATTCTATAAACGAACTTACTTACCAAACAAACCCCGAAATAGAACAAGCCTTCGAGAGGTTGAGAAATTTATTTCCGCACACACCCTCGGAGGAATCCTCAAACGCTAGCTCTAGCTCTAGCGAATCCGAAGAGTCATTCCACATGGCTCTCGAGACAAGGACCCTAAGGGAGCTCACTGCTCCAAACCTCAATCAACAACCGTTATGTATTTACCTTCCCTACACTCAATGAGGGTAATACATTTGAGCTAAAATCTGGGCTCATTCATCTATTGCCATCTTTCCATGGCCTGGGAGGAGAAGACCCGAATAAACATCTTTCGGAGTTCCACATCGTTTGCACAAGCATGTGCCCAAACGGTGTCACCGAAGAACAAATCAAGCTGAGGGCCTTCCCATTCTCTTTGAAGGACACCGCAAAAGATTGGCTTTTCTATCTTTCTTCGGGAAGCATCAACACATGGGCACAAATGAAGAAGTGTTTCCTCGATAGGTATTATCCTGCTTCCATCTCATCTTCTCTCAAAAAGAAAATAAGCAACATCGAGCAAAAGGATGATGAGTCCTTGTATGAATTTTGGGAACGATTTAAAAAGCTATGTGTCAGCTTTTATTATGAATACACTGAACAAGATCTCATCCTATACTTTTATGATGGTCTTGTTGATGATGATAGAAGAATGGTGAATGCCGCTTGTGGAGGTGGCATTGTCAATAAAACTCCTTCACAAGCTATAAGTCTTATCTCAGAGTTGGCCGAGAACTCACGACAATTCGGCCGCAAAGCCTCAACTCAAAGAGTTCTTGCGGCGCAACCCAGCACGACCGCTCTAGAAAGTCAAGTTGCCGGCTTGACTTCTTTGATAAAAGAACTCCTTGTAAAGCCAAAAATTCAGGAGGTCAAAGCTTGCGGCATATGCACATCAACTGGACACCCCACTGATTCGTGTCCATCACTCCAATTACAGCTATCGATAATTTAAGGGCGTTGAGTTGACCGGTTGGTCAAACGAGACTCAATTACAGCTATCGATAATTTATCAGATAACGTCCCGAAATAAATTCCGGTGACTTCTAAATTAAAGTTGAGGAATGTATATTCATTTTAAATGCCAATAGTGATTGGGAATATGAGATATATTTTATTTAGCCCGATAAAATAAAGGGAAAATGTACATATATACTCCTGTAGTATAGGTTGAGGAACAAATATACATATCTTCTATTTTTCGGAACAAATATACCCCCGAACTTTTAAAAAGGTGCAAAAATATCCCTCATATTTTTATAAAGGAGCAAATTAATACTTATTGACTTTACATTAATAAAATAAATTTCAAAAAAGACCAAAAATAAATTAAAAATTTGAAATTAAAAAATCAAACATTTTAAAAATGTAATTGTGTCCAATTCTCCCTTTATTATTTTTATATCACAATTTATTATTTTTAGTATAAAATATTATTTCAAAATATGTAATTTTATAGTGCAAAGAATGCAAAAAATAATAATTTTTCTTTACATTGCGAAACATATGTTAGCACCTTTTCGAAAGAATCTTAAACATATTTTGAAATAATATTTCATACTTAAACAATATTAAATTGTGATATAAAAACTATAAAAGGGAGAATTGGACACCATTACATATTTAAAATTTTTTGTTTTTTAATTTTGAATTTATAATTTAAATTTTGTGTTTTTTTAAATTTATTTTATCAATTTAAGGTCAATAAGGATTAAGTTGCCCCTTTATAAGAACATGAGGGATATTTTTGCACCTTTTTAAAAGTTCAAGGGTATATTTGTTCCGAAAAAAAAGAACAGGGGTATATCTGTTCCAGCACCCATACTACAAGGGTACATTTGTTCCTTTTCCCTAAAATAAAATATAATTAAAACAATTCGAGAAATACAACTTTAAGGACCGAATGTACATTTCGGGACACATTGGGATGACCTCCCACATGAGAGGAGGTCACCCCGCGTTTTTTTTGCTCAAATTGACTTGGAAGGACTAGCATGACATGGGAAATGGATGGAGTGAGGTGATGAACATCAAAAGGACAATGAGGGGCCCCTCTCCCTCACTCATTTGCCAAGAGAGACAAAAAGAGACATCCTTTCTCCCTCCAACTATTGAGCTCGTCCAAGGCATCAAGGAAGAGAGAAGGAAGCTCGATCTACAAACACCTATCACCATAGCCAAATTCGAGCGCAAGCTCAAGAAGGTCCAAGAAGGAAGTTCAAGGAAGAAAAAGAGAGGAAAATGTGGTAGATTAAGGTAATGACCTTATAACAACTTTTTCTCTACTCGTTAACTACCATATGACTTATATAGCATATGAGGAACCCCTAGGATATATCTACATGTTTAGAAGTGTAGAATGAGGGGTTGGAAGGTAGTTCTAAGTTCAAGAACAGACTTAGAAGCCAAAGCGACCGATTCACCGGAATATAATCTTTCGGAGGTTATTTGTACGTGTTGATATGGGTTTTGTGGTGTTAAAACCTTGTTAGGAACTTGTCTAAGAAGTTCCTGTTAGAACTTAAGGATAGAACTAGTAAAATATAAGGGTGTAATATGGCTGGACCGGATATCACTTCTAGTCACGTATAAAATATGCTTTCCTAAAAGTTTACTATCTACCCTTATCATAGTAACCGGGTTACAAGACATAACTTTTGGGATAAAAAGAAGGTGTACAATGTATTTTGGCCACTGACAAAATAACACTTAACAAGTGATATGTATATAAAGTGATCTAAAACTTTATTACTAATACTGCAGTTATCAGTAATAAAGTAAGGCAACGTAGAGAATTGACAAAGTTAATTTTGCCGTATATATCCAATTCAACATGGCCCTCTCTATTTATAAAAAAAATAGTGACCTATTGAAAAGATGCTGCACATTAACGAAGTGTTCAATGGTTGAAGGCGGTTAAGCCTACCAAAATGAAATGGTGCTGCATTTTCCAAAAGATCATGTACATTCCTTTAAAATATTTTTTTTAATATAATACAACATTTGTCATTATCCACAAAAGTGCCGCAATTAGCATCCCTTATATGCAAATTTTAATACTCCGTATTTGAAATCGGCACAAAAGATCAAATATACTAAAGTAATATTATTATAGTTATTATGAGACCAAAACGTGCACATAAATGTTCTCATAATACATATAATAATAATCATTATATTAAAATATCTCTTTAACATCATTTTAGTAAATTATGATATTTGTATATAAAATGATTAAGGACCATGTAAATTTACAATTGAGCTTTATTTTTCAATAAATCTCCAACAATCCTCCATTTATTTGAAAAATAAACATACTCAATCCTTGCCAAAATAGACCACTTATCAAGACTTATGCATAATTGAAAGTGTCGTAACGATTGAACTTTCATTTAGTGCAATATTCTTTACAATTTTTCGGATCATAATAGTAGACTAAGCTTTGAACTATACAACCACTTTGAAATATTGAAGATATTACACACACAAGTGTTTATACATTTTCTCTTAGAAACTTGACACCATTAGCGGCCTTGTGTCCATATGCATTCATGAGCTCCAACAAGTAAAGCCTTAAACTTGGTGAATCGGCCGCCATTCTAGCTCAGAGAGGTAGACCTTTTCAAATTGTGTTTTCCAATCAAACACTTCATCAAAAGATCTATTAAGACATAGTCAACCTCATTACACATTGCAGTCTCAAGCACTTAATTACCTCGGGATGATTAATATTCAAAAGTGCTTCAATCACAGAGTGACTTACTCATCATCATTGAACTCAAGATCTAGCGTTGTACTAGACATTGAGTTGCGCTTTCTTTCACTTGTGATTATTTTCCAAGGGCTTTAAGCTCATCCCTTTTGCAGTTTTGTACACCATGTCCCTTGGCATCGCTTTTGTGAAAGGATCCGCCAAATTTACATGTGATCGTACAAAATCAATCACAACAATCTAAAAGTTTACTATTCCGAAAATATGGCCACTACTCAACGCGATATCATCAACCCCAATTTTCAAAAATTGGAAAAGTTTGAAGGTGTAGAGTTCCGAAGGTGGCAGAAAAAGATGCATTTTCTGCTCACTACTTTGAGGTGGTCTATGTGTTATGTAACACCGCCCCCAAGTATTTGTACTTTATCAAATTATGTATTGAACCCAAGAAATGAATAAAAGCATTTTACGTGATTGTGAATTTTTATCATTTCTTTTACGTGAATAGTAAAATTCACGTGGGGCCCACACCGGAAGTGGGGGCCGCCCGATAATATCGGGACCACATATTATATTCATTTGGGTCAAGATAATATGTGTATAATGGTGGGTATCCTTGTTGGACCATATAAATTAGGTGAGTAACCGATAGGGCATATGAAGCTCATTTATCGGTACCGGCGTACTGACAGATAGAAGCCATAATAAATTATGGAGACCACCAGATTGAAAGTTGGGGAATATACATTCATTCTTATAGCCAATAATAATTGGAAGAATGAGAGATATTTCATTTTACCCGATAAAACGAAATATAATTCAAACAGTCCGGAAAATACAACTTTCGGGACCAAATATACACTTGGGGACGCAAAGGGATGACCTCCCACATATGTGGGGGCCACCCCACGAAATTATATGAGACAATTAGAGGTGGTGGGCGGCTGGAGTGATGGGAGGAGTGAAGGGAAGGGTTGACTTGAGTGGTAAAGCATCAAAAGGACAATGAGGGGCCATGTTGGTGTGATTATTGAGGGTTAAGCCAAAATAAGGCCATATCCTCCCCCCTTGCCCATTCATGCACGACCCCATCATCCATTTTTGAGAGAGAAGCTCTGCACATTATCATTTCCACCATCTCCATTCGAACCTAAGCTAAGGAAGAAGAAAGAGGGAAAAGAGAAGAGAAAGGAGGAAAACTTGAGGATTAACAAGGTAATAACTCCATTAATCCCATTCCTTTTCTTTAATCTACCAACATGATTATGTAATCATATTTCATACCCATAGAACTGTTCTTCACATTAGATGTGAAGAATGAGGGGTTGGAAGGGGGGTTCATATCCAAAACGAACTTTGAGAGCAAAGTTGACGGGTTCGTCGGAAAATAACCTTTTAGGGGTTATTTGTGGTGATATGGGTTCTATGATGATAAAACCTTGTTGTTAACTTGTATAAGGTACTTCAAGGACTTTCACGGAGTTGAAAGGGTCGCCGGAGTTGTCGCCGGAGTTAGTCGAAGTTCACCGGAGTTACACCGGAGCTCAATAAGAGAGGCTAGAACTTCATAAGCTTCTTTTAAGGTGAGAAGACGGCTATATGCTTTATAACTTTTGATTGAGGCATGAGATTACCTAAAGTAATCAAGTATATGTTTTACAGAATGATTAAGGTTAATCAAGTATTGGCTTATGCCATGATTATATATAAAACAAAGTTGAAAAGCATGTTTTGTATGTTTGGTGATTAAAAATGTGATAACTTATTATGTACAATGATCCAGGGGTCAAAAATGGTATTTTTGGATCAAGGACTTCAAGTAGATTATGCATGTAAAATTTCACGTTAATCGGACTCCGTTTGGGCGGTCAAACGGGCGTTGACCGCCAAGTCAACTACAATACCCGACCGGGTGTCTGCTGAGAAATTGGCCCCAAGGGCCGCTGTCTCCTATACCCGATCGAGTATGTATAGATACTCGACCGAGTATGCCTTGAAAATTAGCCTTATGGGCTCCTGTCACCTGTACTCGACCGAGTATTGATGGGTACTCGATCGAGTATTGGGTTATACTCAAAACGGGTAGTTTTTGAGTGGGTTAACGTGGATCGATCAGGTGGGACCCGTCCACGTTGGTTACTAAGGATTTTTATATGACTATAGGACTAGGTATTGTCCATAGTTAAGTGAATGCAAGGTTAGCCATATCCGGGTTAGGGTTTGGTTAGAAATAAGGTTGAGGTTGAGTATCCTCGGGACGGTAAATGATCCTAAAACTCGGTTGAGGTTGAGCATCCTCGGGACGGTAAATGATCCTAAAACTCGGTTGAGGTTGAGCATCCTCGGGACGGTAAATGATCCTAAAACTCGGTTGAGGTTGAGCATCCTCGGGACGGTAAATGATCCCAAAACTCGGTTGGGGTTGAGTATCCCCGGGAGGGTTAACACTCCTGAAACTCGGTAGGATATTATGAAGGTAGAATGTAGCTCTTAAGCTAGGCATTCAGGAATGAAAGGGGAAAGGTTGAGTGAGTACCTTGTCTCTAAAAGACTCTTTTGTGAGAAAATGACCTACGGGTCAAGTATTTTACAAGTATATACACTATGTATTATCTTGGGAATGGGGGTGACAATGGTTACACCTATAAATATATGTATCATCCTATTTTTGGGTCTCGTGTCTGAGACATTAGTTATTCCTCATATAGCCTGCTTGTCACTAGTACTTCTATGGAGTACTGACCCCTTCGGGGGCCCTCACATTTTTCAGGTTGAGGCTAGAGTCCTGCTACCTGCACCTTTGCCCAGGGTGAACTCAAATAAGGAAGACGTGGTTCATGCTTCCATTCTTATTTGAAATTATGAAATTGCTCATGGATATTTGAACGATGTTTTCTATTAAACTATTGAAGGGCCTGCGTGCTCATGTTTGCCACGTGTGGCTAAATGTCAAACATATTTTATTTCCGCATTTGTTTGATTTATATATTGATGTTGATTGTATGGGTTTACTAATCGGTTTGGCAATAGAATCTATCGGACGCCTTGTATGATTTGATAAGAATGAACTACGTTGTTCTTATTGGGTTGTACGGCGGTTGTCTACGTGGCACGGATGCGGTCCGGGGCGTGACATGTTAAACACCCCGAGGCCGCCCGATGATGATGATAACGAGACTTTGGAAACAAGCCACCGCCGCATAAAGTGGGACAATGATGACTATATCTGCCGTGGACATATTTTGAATGGTATGTGTGATTCTCTTTTTTATGTGTATCAAAATATTGAATTGAATATGCTAAAACGTTGTGGGAATCCCTAGAATCTAAGTACATGACAGAGGATGCTTCAAGTAAGAAATTTCTCATTAGTAACTTTAATAGTTACAAAATGGTGGATTCTCGTCCGGTCATGGAACAATTTCATGAAATTCAACGTTAACATGATCAACTTTTGATACACAACATGCATGTAAATGAAACATTTGCGGTCGGTTCTATAATCGACAAATTACCACCGTCATGGAAGGAAGTGAAAAATAACCTCAAACGTAAAAAGGAGGATTTGCCAATGGAGCAACTGGGTCACCAACTTCAAATTGAAGAAGGCATTAAGTTGCGTGAAGGTGACAATGGTAAAAAGAACGACCTTCCAATTTCCTCTATAAATGTTTTGGAGGAGAGACAGTCAAGTGGGACTAAGAAAAATAAAAAAACGTCCCGGGAAATTCACCAAAAGTTCCAAGTTTCAAAAGAAGCTGGAAGATAAGAAAGTAGGCTCTTGTTGGAAATGTGGTGGTCCACACTTCAAGAGGGACTACCCGAAGGTGAAGAAGAACACCCAACCCAACGGCCATCCGAATGCTGGCCAAGACAACCAAGGTCATAATCTTTTTGTAGTTACAAATGATGTTGATAACAACATGATTTTTATAGCTATGCTTTCTGAAATTTGTGTTGTGCAGGATGATGAGTCTTGGTGGATCGACACCGGAGCAACAAGGCATGTATGCAAAGATAGGCACACTTTTAAGACTCTAAAAGAGTTGCAAGAGGGGCTGATCTTATACATGGGAAACGACTCTACTGTGCAAATTCAAGGAATTGGACAAGTAGAGTTGCAAATTCAAGGAATTGGACAAGGAATTGGAATTAACTTCCAGAAAGAAATTAATTCTTAATGATGTGTACTTTGTACCACAAATCTGAAAAAATCTTGTCTCCGATGGCATCCTAAATAACTTTGGGTTTAAACTTAGCTTTGAAGCAAATAAGTTTATTTTATCTAATGGTGGTGTATTTGTTGGCCAAGGTTTCTATTGTAATGACATGTTCAAACTAAGTGTTGTAAATAAAGTTGTTAATTCTGTTTATATGGTTTGCGATTCTTCTTTGTGGCACAATAGGTTATGTCATGTTAATTATCGTAGACTAAGTGACATGTCTAAAGTAGGTTTAATTCCTCCATTTAATATTAACATAGAAAAATGTAGAACTTGCATGTTAAACAAAATCACTAGAAATTCTTTTCAAAATGTTGAAAGAAAATCTAACATGCTTGAATTAGTGCATAGTGATTTGTGTGATTCCCTTAGCACTCCTTTTGGAAATAAAATATATGTAGTCACATTTATTGATAATTGCACAAGATATTGTTATATATATCTTTTATTTTCAAAAGATGAGGCCATGGATAAATTTAAAATTTATAAAACGGAAGTTGAGTTACAAACCGAAAAGAAAGTAAAAAGGCTTAGAATGGACAAACGAGGAGAATATTATGAGCCTAATTTTTTGGAATCCATTGGAATAATCCATGAAACAACAGCCCCTTACACGCCGCAACAAAACGGCATTGCTGAAAGAAAGAATAAACTTTTAGATTGTTAGAACTTAAGGATAAAACTAGTAAAATATAAGGGTGTAAATATGGCTGAACCGGATATCACTTCTAGTCACGTATAAAATACGCTTTCCTAAAAGTTTACTATCTAACCTTATCAAAGTAACCGAGTTAGGGACAGTGGGAATCTCGTTAATCCATTCATGCGCGTCACTAATTAGATGACGAGGCATTTGGCTACCTTAAGAGAGTCATAGTTACTCCCGCCGTTTGCCACCCGCAGCGGTATTCGACACCAGAAACCATGGAAAATCGGCCCCAGCAGCACCGAGGCAATCGACACTGAGAAGGCAAGGCGGCAAGACGTCAAGATAGAATTTTTGGGATAAAAAGAAGGTGTACAGTGTATTTTGGCTACTGACAAAATAACACTAAACAAGTGATATGTATATAAAGTGATCTAAAACTTTATTACTAATACTGCAGTTATCAGTAATAAAGTAAGTCAACGTAGAGAATTGACAAAGTTAATTTTGCCGTATATATCCAATTCAACATGGCCCTCTCTATTTATAAAAAAATGGTGACCTATTGAAAAGATGCTGCACATTAACGAAGTGTTCAATGGTTGAAGGCGGTTAAGCCTACCAAAATGAAACGGTGCTGCATTTTCCAAAAGATCATGTACATTCCTTTAAAATATTTTTTTTTTAATATAATACAACATTTGTCATTATTATCCACAAAAGTGCCGCAATTAGCATCCCTTATATGCAAATTTTAATACTCCGTATTTGAAATCGGCACAAAAGATCAAATATACTAAAGTAATATTATTATAGTTAGAATGAGACCAAAACGTGCACACAAATGTTCTCATAATACATATAATAATAATCATTATATTAAAATATTTCTTTAACATCATTTTAGTAAATTATGATATTTGTATATAAAATGATTAAGGACCATGTAAATTTACAATTGAGCTTTATTTTTCAATAAATCTCCAACAGTTCCTAGTGCTTTCATGAAGTTGATAGAGTCACCGGAGGTATCGCCGAAGTTCTTCAAATCTCGTCGGAGTTTCGCCGGAGTTCAACCGAGAAGAGTAGAACTTCTTAAAGATCATTCAAGGTGAGTGGACGGCTTAATGTCTTATACCTCGTGGGTTAAGTATGCGATTACCTAAAAAAATGTTATATGTATTCATAATGATGTTTAAATGAGTTTAAACATGTGATTAGTCAAGGTGATTAGGCTTATGTGAATTAAAATGGTATATTATGAATGTACTTGAATAAAAACACATATAAAAACATATGTGATGTTTTGAAAGGCCAAAATGACACTTACTGATTGTTTAAGGCTTAATGCATATTGTGTATAAGTTTCAGAGCAAACGGAGTACGTTTCAGGGGTCAACAGGCCGTTGACCTGGGACAATTGGTGGACCGGTGCCGGCTTAGGCGGGTTTGTGAGTGAACCGGTGCCGGTTAAGCTACGGGTTCCAATACCCGTTTTTTTTGCCGAAAACGTGTATTTGGTCCCGGTTCGAGGTGTGATCAACCCCGACCATCCTATATATGTATATTTTGCATGAAATTTCACGGAATATGATATTTAAATGCTAAGGCTTGATATATATATATATATATATATATAGGGAACTCTTCCGGTAAGGTATACCTTACCGGAGCCACCGTGCGGCCTCCACGTTTTGAGGGCCTTCCCGGTGGAATTTTTCGATGAAATTTTTTGAGCATGTTCTTTATCAAGTCTAGTACATCCATACCAAATTTCAGCAAAAAATTTAATCGGGAAGGCATTCAAATGATTTTTGGAAGATAACTGCACCCTTTATATACATATAAAACGCAGTTATCTTCCAAAAATCGTTTGACTGCCTTCCCGATTGAATTTTTTGCTGAAATTTGGTATGGATGTACTAGACTTGAAGAAGAACATGCTCAAAAAATTTCATCAAAAAATTCCACCGGGAAGGCCCTCAAAACGTTGAGGCCGCACGGCGCCTCCGGTAAGGTATACCTTACCGGAAAGATTTCCTATATATATATATATATATATAGGGAGCGGTTCTAATGAGAACAACTCTTATTGTGAGAAATGAGAACATATCTTAACCACTCATCTTAATTAATTAATGGATGGATGATGTAGAGTGCACCTAAATTTAGTGTGGACAAACATAGGAGATGTCATCCGTTTCCCATGAATTGAATTAGTAGAGATTATTCAAGTGCAAAATTGGAATTGAAAAATGAGTATTAATTAATGATTAGTGGGCAACGTATCTCACTTACCCAAAATAAGGAAATTCAACATAAAATCAACATTAGTTACCAAAAAAATTAACTAAAAAATGGGAATTGAATCTTCTCATATTTACAAATTCGTATTTAACATATTAGGAACCCCCATACAAATTATACGAGTATATAATGCACATGGATCCATACTTAACGCACCGTGCTAAATTTCTTAAACACAAAAAACAGTATCTAGCGCACAACAATTAAGAATTAATATCTAACTTATAATTAAAGATTTCATGCAATTTAATTGCTATATGACACACAACAATCACTATGTAATGCAATAATGCATAGTATGTATAAACACCCAAGAATCCGTACCAAGCATATAATATATAAAAAATCACAAGTATCTACTGCACAAGAATGGGTATATAACACACATCACCAATAATTAATGCATCAACCATCATCTTACTCATAGTTTAGATATATAGCACACAACAACTGGCACGTGATGCACAAGAAATGTATAGAAAATAAATCATAAGTAATGCATGAGTTTAACTATTAATTTGATGCACTTCATATAAATACACACAACAATTGATACGTACCACTCAAGAAAATAAATATTAATTTAGTGCATAAGTTAATAATAAGATGTTTGATGCACGTGAGATGAAGTTTAATACACATGACCTAATTATTAATGCACAAAAAGTGAAAATATGATGTGGAATATGAAATTATATTGTCCTTTCAAAAAAATGGTGAATAGTATTAATGAAAAAATAGTTATGCACTAAGTGCTTCTCAAAATAATATGGAGCTCGTGACACCAACACAGATAATATAGAGCTTTGAAAACGATGTTGAATATTAAATTAAATTATATGGAAAGTACTCTTTCCATCCATAAATTGGACCATACGGAATTAGTGCATGAGGGTTGAATAATAAATGCCAAACATAATGATACTAAAATACCCTTAGCTTCTTATTAGATCATCTCAACGATGAGTGTATTTTGGATGGTTGAGATTTGTTCTCAATTCTCACATTAAGGCTTGTTCTCATTTGAACCAAAATCTATATATATATATATGATATTTAAATGCTAAGGCTTGATATATATATATATATATATATATATATATATATATATATATATAATATATATGATTAAATACTAAGGCTTGAATTAGTCGTTAGTAATGTATGATATAGACCATAACCGGGTAAGGTATATGGTGGATCAAAGGTTCGGTTCGGGTGGAGTACCCAGGGATCGGGCGGTGTCCTCAAAACTCAGTTATTAAGGGTGGAGTACCCAAGGACTGGGCGGTGTCCTCAAAACTCAGATGTCATAGGTGAAGTACCAGGGTCGGGCGGTGTCCTAAAACTTGGTATTACCAGGAGAGTGGCCCAGTGGCTGAGTAAGGCTATCAACACTCGATGATATAATGAACCCTAAGTTATAGCGGAGGAAGCTAAACTATGGGTCGGGATGGAGAAAGTTGTTAGAGATATTTTTGTGGTGTTAAATCATGTTTTATTAATGTGTATTTGTGTTGTATTTAGTCTAATTAATAGACAATGGGCCACCTTATGCCTAATGCTCATATGTCTCTTAGAAGCCTATTTGTAATAGGCATATTCCTCATATTTATAAAGAGAGAGGAATAGGCATGAAACCCTAAGTTGAATAGAGGCATCCCTAGGAGTGAACAACAATTCTACACTGCTCTTTCTCTCTAGAGGGAGAGCAGCGGCCGTTTATTTCTTGTTCTAAAATTCTACATCATTCTTAATTAATCGGAGATATTATTCTTATATATTCTTCTCTATTATGTTATTAGATTGTTGAAACAGGTTTTACAAAAGTCAAGGACTAAGTCCACCATTATTTTGTTGATTTGATCACAAAATGGTGGACTAAGTCCACCATTATTTCTTGTTCTAAAATTCTCCATCATTCTTAATTAATCGGAGCTATTGTTCTTATCTATTCTTCTCTATTATGTTACTAGTTTCGTAACGCGCGTTGCGCGATCGGGAAAGTGCCCAATGTATATGGCGTAACACTAAAATGTAGTACACTGCAATTTTGTTAAACAAGAGTTTGTTTTTTTCGGAGAAGCACATCGTATGTGATGTTTTTGGTTAGGTTGGATGAGCTGTTTTGTAATGTGATTAATGACAC